ATAACTATTAGCCAAAGTTAATGATGAAGTATTCCTGGTTCTTGGGTTTAGTTTCACTTGTAGGCTGGTGGATTTTGTTGAATCGCAACAGTTAAGAATGGTTACAACAGACTTGCTACTAGAAGAATAGGAGCTTGGGGGCCCATGAAAAATGGAGAACGAAGAAGAAAAACAGCAAAAATTGCAACTCAGCGCCATTTTTTCTTCCTTCCCTACCCTGAGAAGTATACAAGAGCAGATCAGTGTAATATTTGATTTTGAACACAAAGTAGAAGCTAGATTGGATATTGCACAGGTTGGAAACAAAGACTGGGAGAGGAAGTGGAGATAAATGACTAATTGAGGATGAAAATAGAGTAGTAATAGAAAGACTTTGGGAGGGAAATAACAAGAAGAAAGAGATCCACGTCAGCGGGATATCAAAGACAGTAGCTTCTTTTTGTTTTTGTTTTTTGGTTTTTTTTCCCCTCTTTTTTCATCACAAAAAAGGGATCGACTTCACTAGAGAAAAAAAAGTGTGCAGTGCACGTAGCGATTTCGGAACAAAATCAAACCCGACTTCGCTGCGTTACAGAAAGGGGAAATTTCACAATCCTCCCTTGAGATTAGAGCAGATGCAGGAACCCTCCCTCTGGTATCAAAAATCACACTTCTCTCCTTCATGTTTTACTTGTTAGGTGGAGTACTACATAACACAATACACTCAAAAGATGCCATAAGCCAAATCTCCAATTGATATTCTGAAATACCCTCATTGTGGTTCAATTAAAAATGTTGTTAACCATCGTCTTCCATACAGAAACACTAAAGCATAAAAAAAATAAAGAGAGAATTTAATTAACTTAAAGTATTATTGCAATTGTTTAATCTTTCTGATTTTATAGAATATTCTTTGTCACAGTGAAGATTTGTTTTAGGGAGTAGGAGGAGGAGGAGGGGCAATCAGCATCTCATATTATTGTATCTACAAGTTTTAATTGTAAGTTTTTCAATAGGCAAAATCGAAACAAAAGGTATCATCGAATTATTTAAGAAAATTAAGAGTACAGTTTCGTACATCATCGATATTGTGTGATAAAAGAAACAACCTTTCATTTTAAAACAAGGTATCAAGGAATTGTCAATTTTGTAATTGGTAGGGTCCAATCAACTCCTTTTGACTTGAAGACATTTGGGGGAATAGTAGAATTATTTATCAAATCCTTGAGGGGCATCATGGAATTACTTACCAAATTTTGGGGGTTATAATATACAAATATTAAAACCTATATCTCTTTGATTACTTTTCTTACCCAAGCCCATCCAACTTTACTCCAGGCCCAATCTAAATTACCCCAACAACCCAAATCCAGTACGGCTCAATCGAATGAAGGTTAAACAACTCCTGCTCGTTCTGCCTATTCCCTTCCTTCTTTCCAATACCAAGAAGAAAACGAAAAAAATTCGATACTGAGCACAAGAATTTTGCAGGGCCTCCTCTGGAATTCCCGTGGCTTCTTTTCTCTACTGCAAAGGTACGAAGATATACAGGATGCTTTTTCCTATGTTATGTCTGTTTGTCTGTACATGTATATAACCTCGTCTACAATTCCTGCATACGTATTTTTGGGTGGTTTGATAAATTGGCGTACACTAACTGTTTGGTGAAATTCCTGAGCTTAAAGAAGCCGCAAAAGCTATGAAGTTTCTGGTCATTGATGAAAAATTTAAACGGTAGCTTTGAGGTTGGAAGTCTAAATCGAGGTAATGAGTGTGAAAAAGTTGTATGGGAAAATAAGCGCTAAAAACGCAAGACGGTTTTTTTTCCCCTGCTTAATGAACTTATATGGTACTCCATAGTTTTCAGGTATGCAAAGAATCCCTTTCTGGGCTCTTTCAAAACTAGTTTAACTTTTGATTGAATTTGCAAGAAAGTGGGATACGGTGTTTTTTTTTTAAGCACTATTACCAAGCAAGTGCAAGGCTCATGGATGAACAAAGTAATTACGGCTTTGAGACGTTCGGTTAGGAAGTGTTGGTAGCAAATGTTATACGTGGAGGCAACGGGGCTTATCGAATTGTTTGTAGTGCAGATAACATTGTCAAGACTTTTTGGTGGACGTAAGAGAGGAACATTGAAGAGTAAAGTTAGAATAAATAGGCTAGCTTATAGCAGCGAAGCATTTCTTTCATTTATTTATTTATTTTCTGAATCTTAAATGTGTTATATAAGTTTTGCATACTTCTGGTTTTGACTAACACTTAAGAGTTACAGAAATGTTGCACCACTTCTGATTGCATTAAAAGCTTGGCTTTCCTTTTCCTTTTTCTTTTCTCTTCTTGGGATTTGAAGTTGAGAATATTAGATGGGACTCGGGCCAGCTTCACTTAAGCTTTTAAGTCTACTTGGTTTGTGAGGGTTTAAAAATTTTACTTGCTCCTATAGAGTCGGAAATTGAGACTTTCAATGTTCAGTCCTCTAATTGTGGTAGGAACCCCAAAATAGCTGTTTAGTTTATGTTTAATACTGGAATTTTCTTTTTCATTTTCTATTTTGAGTCAGGGTGGTTGGGGTGATGGGCAACAGGGAGGAAGAGTAAATGTAGGATATACGGAGGACACCTATTGGAAGTGATTTACATAGCTGCATCTGCTGTACATCAATCAAAACCTGTTCACTTTAGTTAGTCGATAATGTGCCTTAGCAAGTTTGACTTTTTCCTTGCAGCCTTCTTCATAAAGTTATAAACATCAGCATTCAACAAAATCCAGTGTTATTTGTATTGGATTTCCCGAATGTCTGGGGGGCCAGGACTTGAGTCTCTTGTAGACCGTAAGTTATTCTTGAACTGGTTTGAGTTATTTGTCTTTCTTAGTAAGCTTATGAAGTGAATGTTCTTTGAAATGCTGGCTAGAGAATAGTTATTGCAAGAACATAATTTGTAGAGCCAGTCACTGGGTTTTGTTAATCCTTATATTATTGGCATTAACAGAATTTCATTATTCTGTTTGCAGAAACAATTTCTGTTATCACAAATGATGGGCGCAACATAGTTGTCAGTTCATGCTGGAGTCAACAATTGAAAATGCAGTTAGAAACTTTATTGTTGTACTGACTGGAGAAACTTCTTTGTGCAGGGAATATTGAAAGGTTTTGACCAGGCTACCAATATAATTCTTGATGAATCTCATGAGCGTGTGTATTCTACAAAGGTCTGATTGGGAATTTTATTAGGAGCCACATTCTTGTGCCCATGATGCATTTTGTGGATTGTTTATTCTTGAAGAGCCCTTAGTTTCTTTTAGTTCAGTTTTTAGCATGCTTTTCCTGAACTATATTGGAAACTGGTGCTTTTGCTGTCTCATCTTTCTGATTTGTTGCTTAATCTATAGATTGAAAGCCATTCATCCATTTTGGAATTTTCTTTTTTTATCGTCCAAAAACTTGCCATTTTAGTTTTCATCTCTGTATGCCTGTCAAATTTCTTGCTGTAAAGTAGTTCTAAAGAAGATAATTTGTCAATGGTAGTTTATTAGTTTCTGGTCTCTTTTAGGTTGTCTTGGGAATCCATCTGAAATAGTAGCTTCCATTTGCCTTTAGCTAATGTTGAAAGCTTTTTGAAGTCTCAAATGTCCATGGAATTATCTCTTTAAAAGCTTGTTTCATGTTTGGGTTAATTTCCATGAGTTAAAATGTAGATAAGGGATTATTCTTTGGTGAGATCATAATTTTAGTTGGTGCATTGCAAAATCTCTGTCTTGGTATTCAGATAAACAGACAACTGTTTGAGATGGAATGACTTAATTTGTATGAGCTAGATTCAACTTTTTGTCTTGTTGATGATGGAATATATTACATGCCTCATAAGAATAATTCCTGGGAGTTCCTACGTGTTACACTTCTGGTTCTTCTTCATGCTGTCTTTTTGCATCTCTATATGGAGAAATTCTTTTACAATTCTGAATAGTTTTAATTTTTTTTTTTTCTAATTTACAGGAAGGTGTCCAGCAACTTGTATTGGGTCTCTACATCATTAGGGGTGATAATATGTATGTGATAATGTGTCCTTGTATTTACTCCTTTTGGTTATCACGCTCTGTTCTGGTGGTCCTTGAGAAAGCTGATTCCTCTGATCTGGTGCCATTTGTTTTCGCTTTTGCAGAAGCATCGTTGGTGAATTAGATGAAGAGTTAGATGCAAACTTGGATTTATCCAAACTGAGAGCTCATCCCTTGAAGCCAGTAATTCATTAACCTAGAAGAAACATGTATAAGCATGCAAACTAAGAATTCCTAGCTTTCAAAGGACCAAGATTACTATGTCTTACTTGTGTGTAACATGCAAGGCCAAACTTGTTGCCTGAATTGATATCGTTACTTGGGTACTGTTCATTCCTGAATTATCTAGTGCGATGAGATGCTCACTGGCTTCAACTGTGTGTGTGTTTTTTTTTCCCGGTCATATTTCTGCCTTTTGGAGATACGGCAAGATTGGTTAAGCCCCAAGTAACACGCTGCTTTCTTTTACATTACCCAGGTAAACTAGGATAGAATGCAGTTGGCGTCTAGAGTAGCTCTGATTCAGGTCTGCAGAATCAAGAACTCAGGTGTTGCCCTGTAATAGTTTCTTTTGGGGGGAAATCTGGCCTCGAATGGTTTTAGACATGCATGCAAAAGGAAGCTAATCCGCCATAAGGCACTATCATAAAATGTCCTCTAAATACTCTGCCCTGGTAATTTCTTAAAAGACTCCAACATTAGGAAGTTTCCCGAATTTTGTTCTTTTATTTTTCAGCTTATTATAATCGAGAGCGTGTTCCTAAGCTACAATTGCTTGATCTTCAAACCACAACTTCGGCGAGCCACAACCGTTTTAACAGGGAAGAATGAGCGCAAAGAAGGATAAGAATTTTCAAGCCCTCATCAAGTAACCGTCTAAACCAAGATGCATGTGCTTGTGCTACACAGGAAGTAAACACAATGAAAATCTCAAAAGAAATATGTATAAGAAGATACAGATGAGTCACAGAATTATTCATCGTCTATAGTAGTATGGGAGGGAAAAACATCCTCCTCTTCTTTTATTGACAATAATGAACTAAACACCCAAAAAAAATGAAAAAATCAGAAAGAAATGACAATCGCCGGCCCGCGGGAATATAGACTCCATATGAAGCAAATAACTAGAACCTAAACCTAAACTTACAACGACTATCTCTAATTCTAATCGCGTTGTCAGTTGTCAAGCTATCCACGTTCAACCAACACCTTACCAAGAATTTCCACTTCATCAACTTCAATCCCCCAAGCTTCAGCCTCACCGGAACTTTTCCCCTGAGAAACAATGGAATATTTCCAGTCTGCTCCTGGGCCTGCAAAGACTGCAGCAGCCCATTTGCATCCTGCGTTTGTCCGGTCAAAGTCACGTTCATTACAGTGGTGTTCCTGTGACCTTGATAAAACTTTGGCAATGAACCTTCACAAAGTTGAGTCCCCGTAAAATAGACTCTCAAATCGCTGCCGCCCTCGTAGTATATACCGATTTTTTTGTTGGGATTTCTAGCTGTGACGTTCACGTTAAAAGTAGCAAATAAGCTGTTGTCGTTGTTGAGATTGAGATGCGTTATGGTCAGGCTGTCAACTGAATATTTTGGGAGTTTTGGTCGGAAAACAAGGTATATGATCCCAGCAGAGATGGCTATGAGGAGTATCAGAAGTATGATGAGGGCCAGTGTCCAACACAAACACTTCTTGCAGCAGTTTCTCTTTGGTGGTTTTGAGTATGAATAAGGGATAGTTCTTTGATGTGGTTGATAGTAGTTGCCTTCTGGATCACCTTTCTCTGACTGGGGAGCCCCCCCGGAAACTAGTGGAACTGTTGTTCTCTGGGGTGCCCCGGCTTCAGGGTCCCGGACCGGATGAATCCTCTGATGATCAGCCATTGATGAAAGAGTCGGAAGTTTTAGAAGGTAGAGCCAGAATCGGGTAGCGTGTAATAGAACAGAGGTTCTGCTGTTTTTCCTTCAGGTTTTGTGATTTAGTTTTGTTTCATGGGACCAAAAGGGTTGATTTTTATAAAGGAGTAGGAGCTCTTGGTGAAAAAGGATGTGGTTTTCCCTTTTCTTTTTTTGTAAGGAAAGTGAGCATGGAATACCGGTACATAAAATAATGACGAAAGTCCTATGTCAGACAGTTTCATGAAGGCTGAAGTTTCCTTATTTTGACTTTAGAAGATTGAGAGGGTAAACAGTCTTTATCTGATGGGAGGGCTCTTTTTTTTTTTTTAATGATACTATAATGGATTAGGGAGTATTCACATGCCTTTTGTATTAATTTGAAGAATGGTCGTTTTTGGCTCTTTATTCAAGATTTTAAAGGTCAAACATGGATGCGTGTAGTCATAAATTCTGTGCAAGTTTGGAGGGGAACTTCAGGGAAGGGGAAGGATTATGGCGAACGAATAAATCGCGTACACACCACATGTTGATGAAAATTATTAGCATTGACTAAGCTCCAAGACTTGGCAAAGTAACCAAAAAAAAATAGAAAATTTTGTGCTTAATCAAGATAGTTTAAGACTTTTTTTTTTTCTTCTGAGGAAAGATATTTCAGGATCAAGCTGATGTCAAGTTCTAGTAACTTTTAGGAATTACCAATTCATAATTATTTCCAGAGCATTTACTTTTACAACCAATCAGAGTTATATTGCAGTTCAGAAGTAGGATCGAAACTTCATCAACTCCACTTTGTACTCCCAACCTTTTTTGCGCGCTTTTGTTACCATCACTTAGGGGCTGTTTGATAAACAAGTTTTTATTCCAAATTTATCTGCCACAAGTTTTTTAACAACTTTAATTATGGTAATTTCAAAAAAAAAACTTCTCAAAAATTTTAAACTGTACATTTCAAAATATCCAAAAATTTACACACTTCAAAATTTTTACCTACAACTTTTACAGTGAATTACTGTAAAGTTTTAAATAAACATCCAAAAAACTCATTTGTCAAACTGAGTCTTAGTTACTAAGCCAACTATAAACTTTTATTCTTCTATTAGATTAGTCAGGTTGGACTTGATCACACAGATTTTATCATTTTCTTTGTTGATCCTAAACCTTCTAAAATGGTAATCTTGTATTATATCTCATGTCGAATAAACTTTACTTAAAATACACCAAATGCATTATGTGATGCACCTTCACATTCAGATATTTTCTCAAATTAATTCCATATTATACAAAATAAACCCTCAAAACATCGAATGCCCAGTCGTTAGCCAAACTCTAGGATTTAAACAATTCAATAAAATGGATTCTAGGTATATAAAGTATTTGATAGCTTTCACATTTCCAAGAATTTCACTGTCAATCGAACTACACAAAATCACATGCATGGTATAGAAAGGTTTTTTTTTCGAGTAATTTTTATAAACATTGATAATATATACACTATCACCGTTAGATTCATGATAAGTGTACAAAAGTTAAATTTCAAATTTAAATTTTATATAATTATCATTCATTCAATACTGATAGTATATATACACTGTGACAGGATAAGGAAGATTATCACTGTAATTATGCTTTTGCCTTTACCATGGGATGGCCGACACAAGTTTACACGCAAATCTTGGATGGTGCCTACTCCTTTTGACGTCTGATGAGAAGAAATTGCGCCAAATCAAACCCCATCTCCATTTGTCTATTTAAGAAGCTTCCATAGTTACCATCAGGCGCCACGCGGTATCAGAAGACTTCATTTTACACGTGTTGCTGTTTCTCATGTGATGCTTGAAAAAAATGCACTAACAAAAAAATCTCTTCATTTAAAAATAAGTGTGTTTTCCCATTTAAATTCACTTTTCAAAAACTAACAAATGAAACACCCCAAAAAATATTAGGAAGTTCATTATGCTATGCCGTATAATAATTATCTCCACATAATGCACCACTACCAATGATGCCCTTTAATTTGACCTTCCAAAAAAAAAAAAAAAAACTTTGAACAGGTAGCTTTTTTTGGGTTAATTTGAACAGTTTTCTAAATTTATTTAATCTCACTTATTAAGAACTAACATATGAGATATTCTAAAAGGATATTAGCAAATAATTATAATCATTTGATGAATCTACACGGCACATCACTCTTGGTTGATGAATGGCCTTGTTTGGATTGCGGTTTTCCGCCGAAAAATTGTGTTGTTTTCCGTGATCACATTTCCCTATTATCTTTTTCCCTCACATACATCAAATCGCTACAGTAATTTTTCCATGAAAAATGACGGAAAATGCAATCCATGAAAAATTTCCACGGTATTCATTGCAAAGATCCAAATGCTAACGTAACAAGATAACAAAACTTTCAGATCATTTCGATATTAATTACAAGCAAATAGTTGGATAATAGATATATTACTCCATCTAGATTCGAATCAAGGGAAAAAGGATATTAGCTTGATATGATTTTTTTCAGACTAAGCCAATAGGATAGTATTCATTATTCAAGCGTTTCAAACTATTAGATTGAAAGTTACATCTGATGTAAAGTAAGATAACGTGTGTCGTAGATTACATCCATCATTTCAACCAATTTCTCAGCACCACAACAAAAGTCATTACTCGCAATCGTTGTTCAACAAAAATGGCACTGTTTTGGACTTGATCCTTTTTTTTTTCCTTTTCTTTTCACACTCATAGTAGTTTTTTTTTTTTTTTTTGGGAGAGGGGGGGGGGGTTGTAGTTTAGGAGTGGTAGTTGTTGTAGAATGTTAAATCAAAAAATTATACTATTGGTTTATGAAAAAGAGGACTAAGTTGCGGTAAAATATACTGCTATAATAATGGAAGGATTAAAACTTTTTTAAGGTTTGTAGTAGTTGAACTGATAACAGCGTTGTTTTACTTAAATCATAGATGACGTGAATACAACAAATGCAAAACGTATACCAATCAAAAGGAAAGAGCCAAGTAAATACACTTCACAACTACGATCACTCAGACATGAATATCTTTTTAATTGCTTATTGTCAACTAATCGTGAAAAGGATTGGCTGGTCAATGATAACCATTTATACTTCAGCATATGATATGCTTCACAAAAATTCTTACCATATAGAGGGGTTAAATCATTGACAAAAATATAAGACAATCACACACACAAAAACAAATTTATATGGTATAAATGAATTAAGAGATTTCAAATGTGTTACACACACACACATACACGAAGATGCACGCCTTGCATTTGCTCCAAAAAGGAAAAAACGTATTACATTGACATGTCATGTCATAATTCTTTTTTTGAAAAAGTGAGAATCAAATAGTATCTTTTCAAAGTTTTCATGTGTATTTAGTCTACTAGGAGGGGAATCACCGCGCGTTGCGCGGTGGAGGAATGTATTATGCCCAGTAATGCCCACTTTAATCGTAATTTACTGGCGGTAATATAACAAGAGTTACAAAATATTCAAAAGCCAATAAATTGTATGTTTTATTTGTTAAGATTGATGAGTCTGCAATATGTGACTACTTTGGTAATGCATAATAGTAAAAATAGGCGAAGGATTTTTTTTTATGTTGTCATTACTGTTGCTTAAATAATTTATTTTTTCACAGGAAGAAGACATGGGGTATAATTGTTTTTAAAAAAAATGAGGCATAAGAATATATATATTTTTTATATTGTCATTGACCGATTAACGAAAGTAAATCTTGTAGTTGATGGGAAATGGCAAATTGTTTTTATTTAATTAATGATAAGCAGAGTACATCATATATTGAAGTTGGATTCCTAGACATCCGAATAAATATTAAATGTGTGATACCATGGGAAAATTTTTTCAACACCGGTATCATCAAAGATTAAAATCGTGAAGACAGTTTCTGATTCCGGAATAAACACAAGGACTTCATTATGTTGCAGTTGGTGTTCACGAACGAAAGTTCTCCAATTACGTTGAAGGCGGCAATGCTTGACACCAATCTGAGTGGTTCTATATCCAGTTTTGATAAGCAACGTGGGAGTTCTCTCGTGATTTACGAAATGATCAACAAAGCGCGGGATTTGCTGGTAGTAATTGATTTAAATTAGAATGTATGCAGAAAGAGAAGAAGGTTTTTTGAAAAGAGATTAAAAGAATGAAGATATGGGCGGTTTTTTTTTACCAAGCTGTCCGGAGTTGCTGAATGGAAATTTTGGTAAAAGCACACAGAAGCTGATAAATTCTGATAGAGATCCGGTTGCATTAAGGAAGCTACATGCTGTTGCCTACCGCCTGAATAGTTATTCACAATAATTACGAAGCATGAACCGAATTAGAAGTAATATATTGTATATATTAGAATATATGATAGGTAGTATGGTGTTTGAACCTTGTAAAGGAGAAAAGCTTGTCTGCAAAAGATTTGGCAGGGGAGCTGTCCAGCGCATGTAAGCCTGGGTCTGTAGTTCAGAAAAATGAATAATGTCAAATATTAGACTCCCAATATGGCGAAGTAATAGCATGTCATGTCTTTTAATGCTATTGTGTTCGCAGAAAGCATCCCAGCCATCTCCAAATGAATGGTCAGTGACCATTATAGGCCATTGTTGCAGTCCAATTCTGAGACTAATTGTGCTGGATCGATGTTGAGCAAGTAATAATTCGAATTGAGAAGGAAATATCTGGATAACAAGAAGAATATAAATAACGTTGATAAAGTCTGCTGTAAACATTTAAATTAGATCATTTAGATGTGCATAAAGAAAGGTTGAACCTGTCCTCTATGGATGCATTTGAGAAGAAAACAACAAGCTGTTAAATTGTTATTAGCGAGATGAAGGTCTGGTGCTGTTGTGCAGCTTGTTTCTGACATTGAACTAATAGAAGAAAGGTTCAAGAAGTGGAGAAAAAGAAGGCATCAATTGAAGAAAGTATGCGAATGCAAGGCAGCTTCAGTTTATGAAGATTTAAAAGCACAGACAAACACCTTTGCTGGTGTTTTTAATGCCGAGCGCAGACCTGTTTTCCATCATAAGTGAAGAAATTTATTGATTGCAGTAGAGGATGGTAAAGAACAATTAATAAAAAAGACCATTCAATGGTATTTATTAGGCAGGGGACCATTCAACACATGAAAAGACCATTCAGCATGAAAAGGCCACAATATATAGTTAACATCCACCTCGGCTTGCACTGTTTAATTGGTTGAAGGGAACTCATAAATAGACATATGTTTGTCATGTCTGTCATATATGCAGTCAAGGAATCAATACACATAGGAGCAATAGGACTTGCATGTATAACGTGTATGTAGCCAAGAAGCTGGCAGGTGCAATAACAAAGGAACTGTATATACATAACTGGAGGCTTAAAGAATCGATGGAATATTTGCATAAAAAAAGGGAAAAGGAATAGAAAAGCACTTCAAATTATATAAATCTTAAAGTTGACAGGATGCACAAAGTAAGTTTCTTGCAAGGAATCCAAAGATTTCTGCAAAAATCTCCCCGCTATTCAGGATTGAAGATTGCAGTTCATCTTTGGACGGCTGGCACGAACACTGATACAAAAGCAATCATCAATGTTAAATGATGATGCAAAAGTTGTTTAATAGATTACCATTTACAGAAGACAAAAGGTTTATAGTTATATCTGTTTTGCATATAGAAGTGCAGATGAAATGGGCAAAAAATATCCAATTTCCAGCAGCCAAAAGGGGATAAAGGTGTTTCAGCCTAATTTTGTCCTTTTGCTGCAATTGTCAGTAGCAGTTGCAAAGTCATCAATGGCAGTAGTTTCTGCTTCATCAAACTTATCAGCAAGGCGGAGGCGAGTCTTTGAACCAGAGCTACTCTCCCCTACAAGAATAAAGATTGGCTAAATATGCTGGTAAGATATGAAGCTATTTGATAAAATTTTAGCTATGGTGGCCAACCTGGAGTCAGCAGCTGAGCAGTCTGAACTCTGTGTTCAGCTGAGATAGGCAAAGCATCTGGTTGGCCAATTAACTGAGCAGAATCAATCTCTTGTCCAAGTTCAGAATAATGCAAAACGGTATAACGCTGCCTAGCATCCGCTAATTGAGCTTGGACTGGTTTAATATGAAGCAGAAATGTCTTTGTTTTCAGGCTACTGTGAACAAACTCAAGAGGAAGTTCGCGATTCTACAGGCAACGCAAAAAAAGAATGAGAATTGGGAATAGAATGCTGGTTTCATTAACAATGATAGGAATTTAAAATTACCTGGTTAAAATGATCCATTGCTTCAAGTGCGGTGAATGTGAGAAGTTTCTCTGCCAGGTCTCCAAAGATGGAGGCTGGTATAACTCCACTGCCATCACTTAAATCAATGTCGAACCGGCATCTGAAAAGTAAACATATAGTGCATTAGGTAACCGATTTAAGCATGGCGTAATCATGTACAATTTACAAGTAATTTTAATGCTGATGATTTAATAATATAGCACCTGGGCACAGCAGGGCTCTTTTCTTTGCATGAATTGCAGGTAAACTCAATGCCATAGTCTGCTGCAGTAGCACGGTTACATTTTCCACAGCTCATATACCAATATTTCTGAAAAATGTCTTCAAAAGAGATATTTGCCTTGACCAGTGCAGTCTAAAAGGTAACGAGGAATGAGATCAAAAGCTAAATATGCATGAGGAATTTTAAGAAAAGTGGATAAATAGCAAGAGAGTCTCAGCACCTTCTGCGACAGAGAAACATTACAAATTAAAGTAGTCTTCTGGTCAGCTTTCAGAAAGAGCTCAGGATTGTATTTAATGTAAGCCTTTGTTTCAATGAGCTGCGCAATTAACTTAGTATTTCTCATTGTCCTACAGAAAGAACGATGAAATAAGAGAATAAGGAAAACGAAATGAGAACAGGGTATATTGTATGTTTATGAAAGAAGCAAAGGAAAAGGCACTGAACCAATTTTTCAACTCCCTTGCTTCCTGTATGGGCGGGTCAACAAGGACTGCAGAATCGAACCAGGTAGACAGCGAAACTCCTAGAAGATAAATAGACAGCAAAAGATTTCAGGGATGATTTGCAAGCATTTTAATAAGTAAATAAATGTTATCACACAGAAGGGCAGCATTTCACCGAACCATTATAGTTGTTAACTTTCAATCTTCGGCCGATAACAACAGGATAGGTCTGAATGTTATTCAATAAAATCTGTCCTTCATTGTTCAAGAAGTTATCCCACAAAGATAGCATCACTGTTTGAGACCTAGTATTGACATTGATACATAAGTCAGCATTCAAAGAAACAAAGAGGATGACAAAAATAGCAAGCTAGATCTAGTAAAAAGGAGTGATAGGATTATAAAAAGATGACGCTTACTCTTCATTAAGGAGGACAAATTTTTGAACACATGACTGTTTGGTGCTCTTACTTATCGTTTTCTTGTCCAACGAACTAATTACAACTCCGAGAACATCTATGAGACATCAAAGGCACCTCAGAAAAGTAAGGATAAGTTTGATTAGGCCGAACTTGCACTTCAAAGGTAGCTAAAACTTACCCACAGATTTGCTTTTGTCATCCATATATTGAGCTAAATCTGCAAACTCTGTGAAGGAAAATTTAACAGGCATGATGTCCTCTTCTCTGCTAACTTCTTCAATAACAGTCCTAGCAGTTATCACCCATTGCATAGTCAAGCCAGATGTCTGAAATTTTTCTGGAATATTTCTGACATCAGCATTTGAGATCCTGTACTTTTTGTAAACTTGAAGAATAGGGCTCATCTTCGGAATGTCAGCATTGAAAATGATGCCTTCTACTCTAGAACCCTGTTAAGAAGATTAATTGAAAGAGTTCATTAAAGTGAGTGCAAGATCGAAGAAGTGCTATGTCTGGAAAAGGTGTTCTAAAACAATACCTCCGAGTCATAGAAGATCATTTTTTGTTTCTTGGTTGGTGTCCCCATTGAATCAGTAACTTGTTGCTTTTCTTGAATAGTTACAAGACAACACCAATTTTTCATGTTAGGAGTGATATTTCTGATTGGTAGTACGTCAGCCATTCTGCCAAAAAAAAAAAAAGAAGGCAAAAGATTTGTAATCTGGAAAGTTGGATATGGATGAAATCGCATGAACAAGTAAGCTAAGGGATGGGGTTATCTAGATATACCTGAATATAAGATAGATATACAGTTAACTGAACTGGAAAACTTCATTGAATACAACATTTCTAGTTTTGCAGTCTATTTTTGTACCCTCAAAGGTCCCCGGAACAATGAGAATTTTGAGTGCAGATGAGGTTCTGGCTCTGGACAGAGCTACATAGAGTTGACCATGAGAAAAAACAGGTTCACGTAAATAAATGCCAACATAGTCGAGAGTTTGTCCTTGGGACTTGTTGATGGTCAATGCAAAGCAAAGGCGGACTGGAAACTGTGTTCTTACGAAGGCAACGCCATTCCTCTCATTATCAGGAGTTTGTAGAAGCATTTTTGGAATCAGGATAATCTTGCCTTGATGCTGGCCAAAAACAATCTCAGCAGAAATAGTGTGATGCCCAAGCTCTCTACATATGAGTCTAGTACCATTACAGAGGCCTTCTAGAGGATTAAGATTCCTCATCAATATAATTGGACAGTTTTCCTTTAGCATTAACTTGTGAGGAGGAAGGCCTTTTGGATTTTGAGAGTTAAGAAAATCCTCATAATCACCCTGGTGACGCTGGTCAACAGTTCTGTCCGTGCTAGTGTAGGTATAGAGCTTTCCAGGGAACCTCCTAATCAGGATATCATTTAGCTCATCAACTGAACTGTTTTTAGGAGTAAGAATACACCTACAGATCATACTATAAGGATCCCGAGAATAGAGAGTTAAATCTGGGAAAACATAACTTATTAACCTGTTAATAGAAGAACTAAGTTAGAAACTATAAAGGTATAAGGTAGGCAGCTAAGATAGCTTAAAAGTGTATTATCTAACCTGTTTGTACTTAGGAGTCCAAACGAAATGCTGAGGGAAATCTCTATAGAAGCATTTAAGATTTTCAGCGACTGCATTTGTTGCATTCATTTTGAAAAACTCAGTTAACATAGTTTTCAAAAAATCAGCCTTGGCTAATAACAGCAAGAGATCTGAGTTTTTATCAAAGGAAACGAACTGCTGATTCGGAAGATGAACTTGGAGTGTATAAACAGATGGAGTCATCTCATTTAGATGGAATTCATAGATACGCCAAAAAGCTTCGGGAGCCGAAATATATCTGCCCTTTTGAAACTCATTAATTTCATCAATATCAGGAGGACCGCCATCAGTCACAATCTTAAAGGAGGCCTGATCATGACCTTTAAACACATACTTGTACAAGTATTTCACCAGTTTTATAGTAGAACAGATCTCGACGTTTATATGGCAATCAAACAAAGCAAGGAGGTATGGGTTGTAAGGGACAACCCACCTATTATCAAGAGTAAACCTTCGGACCCTTATTTTTCTGCCATCGTCCCTTCTTCTATAATGTGGATAACCATCTTCAGCATGAATTGTATGCGGACAGAAATCTTTAGGATAGTGGCTTTTGCAGGTACCGTCTCTCATACAAGGACAAGTTTTATCCATAGTTCCACAGGGGCCGTGGATCATATGTTTGACAACAAGATTGTATAAGTGAGGGTAGCGAGCACGATCGGGCAACTCCGCACACACCACCCTATCATATGATTCTGGATTAAGCAGCTTGGACTAAGGTTTTAAGATCAGGAGTAAATGAGCATGAGGAAATCCGCGCTTTTGAAACTCAATAACATGGACACATGCTGCGACCTCACCAAAAATCTGTTTATTCAAAATTTCAGATTTGAGCATCTCAAATTTAGCTCTAAAAACCCTGGCTAGAAGATCTGGTCTATCCTGTGGCTTTTCATGATACTTTAGATTGTCCTGAATTTCTTTCCATGCTGGATTGCAGGTCATGGTAAGGAAAAGATCAGGTTTACCATATTTCTGAACGAGCGCCATTGCATCAAGATACCGGCGTCTCATGTCTCTCGGACCACCTATAAAAGAGGATGGGAGAACAATCTTCCGACCGACTTTAGACCCCTCGGACTGCCCTATAGAAACACTGTCCAAGACACCTTGGAGGATCTCCGATCTTATCACATTTTGTTGATGCCTATGGAAGTCCAACCTTGAAGTCTCTATCTTCACATAAGAATCAACAGAAAATTGTTGTAGAAGCCTAAGGCAGTGCAATAACATTGATTCATCATCATCTCTTATTTGAAATCTGTAGCAATAATACTCTCTAGCTGACACCGTGTCTCCCTCGCGCTTCCCTCGATCAACAGCTATATAAGACAAAAATATTTTCTCGATGAAGAAGATGCTATAAGGTGAATATTTAATAGCGTAGATTCAGTAAGTGATTTACTTGCCTCTGCGCTCTAAGTCTATTAAGTGTGAAGGGTCGCTAACAGAAGAAGGGTCAACATTAGAATCGCCTTCACAGCAGTCCACATTTCTTTTCCTCTTATATAGTCTCTTAATACCATGGTGCCATCCACATTCACCTCGAGGAAAAAGAATAGGATACTGTAGAGGGTCATAACAGCCATAGTAATGATTAATTCTATGGCTGGTATGCGAGTGAGTGTAAACCTGAATATGAGCACTCCTGTCTACAGTTTCATTTTCATCTTCAGTCCATATAGCAGCAACTTGCGAGGTAGATGGCAGGTTATAGACGCGCTGGTCTAAACCAGGGTAACAGTTAAGAACGATCCTATAGCTATCAAGGTTTGGTATATCCCTGAGACTTTTAAAGAATTTGGCGTAAGGATTGTTCAAAAGTATGCGCATAAGCAATTTTAAAGTGCCTTCGCGCAACTTTTCAGAGTTTCCAGTTCTCTTTGCTAATTCCTCATCAGTGTCAAAGAAGTAGAATTGAATTCCAGATGGTTTGTCGGTTGACTGCGTCAAACCGTTGAGGAAGTGATAGACTTGGCCTTGAATACGAAAAGTATAAACACCTTTCGTATTTTTGGTCAATTCTGGGTCATATCTTGCAGCAAAGGACGTAAATCCCTGGTTATTATTGTAGGTTCGAACATTGTTTCTAAAGTGAGTGCTTTCTTCATCATTTCCAATAAACAAGCGCTTCAGATCATAAGGCATTGCTGGAATAACTAAAGAGATCTCTCCGCCAGAACAACAAAAGCTAGGAGGTTCCAAATAGAACCTTTTAGCTCCACAGTGTTCACAATTAGGAACATTTGGAAGGGTAGTGGCTTCATGAGGGATCTCATCAAGCTGGAAAAGACCCTGTTGACGACCTCTGCGAGGTCTAGCTGCATTTAATTCCAAACTATAGGTGAGAACGGAACTTTATTAATCCAATTAATAACATAAGCTGGCGAGATATACAAAGTGAAGAAGAATTAAAAAGCCAACCGGGAGCCTGCTTCCTGACACGTCCATGAGAACCATGATTTTGACCAGAAGGCTGATCTTTAGATAGAAGGGCAGAAGAACTACGATGGTGACCCTTTTTCCCTTGAACACGGGTTTTTTTGGCAGACTTGTTAGACGTTCTAGCTCGAACAGAAGGGATTTCTGTAACTATACAAAGAAATAAGCTGAATAAAAAAATGCAGAAGCATTTGACCGCGGACAGTCAGCAAAGCGAGGAAACTATGAAAGGCCCATCCAAATAGAACTGACAAATACAATATTTTTGTAGAGGATATAAGCGGACAGGGCAGCCGTAGAAGTATCGACAATCACACGGAAAAAGGCAATGGAATATATACCTCGAGAAGTAGAAGCTGGTGCAGAAGAGTGTTTCTCAGAGATAGGTGTTTCATTTTGCAGATATAATTCTCTATGGACATCATTTAAAGCAGACTGATTTCTTTCAAAGTCATTGTAAGAATCAGGCAAAGAAGAGAACTTAACAATATTTTCAAAAAGCTCATTATCAGGTAAGACTTGTATGTCAGTGCAAAAGCGGTGCCTGGCTCCGGCATACAGAAGAGAAAAGCTGCTTGTTTGGTGAGGTAACACAAGAGGTTCAGAGTAAGCAGCTTTTTTTCCAGAACTCTGTCACTCACGAAGAGGGGAAGAAAGTTTATCAGAATTCATGGAAAATCCAGTAAAAGGACAATACTGAACTACATTTTCAAAAAGAGTGTTCATAGGCAAGAGCTCTTTGTCACAGTAAGGAGTTTTCAGAGAATCTGTTAGGTCATCAATAACTGATACAGAGGCAGAGCGCCTATTCTTTTTGTTAAATAGATGAAGTTCAGGCGTAGTAGTAAGAGAATGAGAGCCTAAGATTTTCCTTTTCCCATGGAGGGGTGTAGGTGGACAGCTCCTAAGATTAGGCGTACCAGCGAGCGGATGTTCTGCAGGGCGGAAAATAAGCTTTATTTTTTTACTCGTACAGAACAACAACACGGAAGGGTCAATCCGTGGAGAAGAGAGCAAAGACGATCTCTAAAGGAGGAAATGGACATGAAGAAAAGGTCAGGAATTGGTAACACTAACAGTACCTCCTAGTATACCCGTTGCTGGTGAAGAATGCATTTCCCTAGTAGGGGAAGTAGAATGACCATGGAGACAACCGGAAGCAGATTCATGAGATGACATGTACTGTAACGCTTCAGCAATAACATCGGTGCTATCATGGCCGTTCTTAAAACCCCCTGTTTCTAACATTTGGCCATGCATAAGAGGTTGGTTTCCACTATCGCATGGGACAGCAAGTGTTTCAGGGAAAGAAACACCTGTTTCCACATAACCAAGTGGAACCTTGCGAATACGCGAGGGAAAACTCTTTTCTTTCTTCTTGGCGGCCCTAGCTTCTCTTCGACGACGTAGAAGGTCATTTTTCTCTATGTCTGGCATTTCTGCATACCTTTTGCGGCGAGTAGAACTTCTACCCATTCACTTTAATTGTCTAGAGCGTACAATAGCAAAGGGCTTGTAAAATACCAAGCTATAGTTATTGAGCAAGTAATGAGCAGAAAGATACAAAATTTAATAGCAACAAAAATCAGAAAAAATG